ATGAAAACTAGTATCTACAGTGTACACATATTGGTTGGAATTAAGTATGAAGAATACAAAATCAAATTCTTTCATGCTTTTATAGATATAGGATCTGGGATATGTTTAGCCAAAACTAATGTATTCCTAAAGCATTATTGGAAGAAAAGCTCTCAAACAATGAAGGTATAGCCATAGACAAAAGTATTATTCAATACCAAACAATAATAGAAAGAGTTACTGCTGTAATTGGTGGAACTAAAATTATAATTTCCTGAGTCTATGAAATTAATGAACATGGGAATGACATTCTATTAGGAAACAATTTCCTAAACCAATTCAAGCAATATGTTCAAACTACTTCATATGTGAAACTTTTTATACCTTATGGACATTGGCTTTACGCCTCTAGAATTTATAAAGCTTATATTAAAGCAATAGAACCATTGATTTTTTTGTAGCCAATGTAGTGAGGATAATAGAAAAAGGCACTCAAAAGAGATTAGAAAACTAGTGTTAGCATTGTGGAATAATGAAAAAACATAAGAAAGAGTAACCTTAGAATTTATTTCAAAAGAATTAAGAACTAACTATGGAGAAGACCCTATAAAAATATGGGAAGTTGATAAAACTTATGCCATTATTGAATTGATAAATCCAAAAACTATCATTAGAGTCAAACCAATGAGGTATAGTCTTAAAGATAGGGAAAAATTGAAAAAGCAAATTCAAGAATTAATAACCCAGAAAATTATATGGGCTTCCAAGAGTCCTCATGGTAGCCCCACCATTATGGTGAAAAATCATAGTGAAATAAAAAGAGGAAAAGCTAAAATGGTTGTTAACTACAAACAACTTAATAGTAAAACTAAATTCGATGATTACTTTCAACCGCATAAGAAAACTCTAATCAATAGCATTAGAGGAAAGAAAATATATTCAAAATTTGATTGCAAATTAGGATTTTGGCATATCAGGTTAGCTCATGAAAATATTCCATTAATAGCTTTTAATGCTTCTATAGGGTACTATGAATGACTGATAACGCCTTTTAGATCAAAAAATGCACATCAAATATTTTAAAGAAAAATGGAAAATGTATTTTTATCCATTAGAAGATTTTGTATAGTATATGTAGACGATATATTAATCTTCTCTAATAATGCAGAAGAACATCTATATCATCTTAGGAAATCTACATACTTATGCAAGAAACATGGAATATTACTTTCTAAAAAGAAAATAGAAATAGGAAAAACCAAAATCAAATTCCTTGGGTTAATAATAGATTCCAAAGGGATAAAATTACAACCTCAAATTAGTGAGAAGATTTCATTATTCCTAGATAAATTGGAATCTAGGGAATAGATTCAAAGGTTTTTAGGAATGCTTAACTATGCAAGGCAATTTATTCAAAACCTAGCTTAACTAAGACATCCTTTGCAAAAATTGCGCAGGAAGAAAGAAAATCAATAATGGGATATTTATCACACTAATCATGTGTAAAGAATCAAAGAATATTGTAAAAATCTTCCTAGATTACAGTTGCCTAGAGATGATAAAGAGTTAATTTTAGAATTTGATGTCTCGGATTTTTACTAGGGAGTAGTTTTGAAAAATTCTTAAGAGAAAGTTTGTAGATATGCTATTGGTACATTTAAAGATCCAGAAACTAGATATCATTATAATCAAAAAGAATTATTGGCTATTAAAAATAGAATAAAAAAGTTCAATTTCTTCTTATTACTAAAATATTTTGAAGATTAAAATTGACAATACTTAAGTTAAGGGATTTATTTTTAATAAATTACCTTTAACACTAGAATATAAAAGATGAAATAAAAGGTAAACATTCTTTGCCAAGTATGATTTTGAAATTGAACATATCAAAGGAACTACTAATTGTCATACAAATTTCTTGAGTGGAGAAAGTGCCAATGGATGAGATCCTGAAACTCCAAGATAAAGGAAAAGACCTTATTTTGGGAGGTCAAAAGAAACTCATTGAAGGCAATAGCCAAATAAGAGAAGGCTAAGAAAAAATGATCATAGGCTAAGAAATAATTGATGAAAGCCATAGCCTTATGAATGAAGCCCAAGAGAAAATTATTAAAGGCTATGAGTTATTAAATAAGGGACCAGATGCCCTTGAAGAAGTCAAAGATAGAAAAATTAAAGAATTCCAAAGTAATTGCTATTGTTGGAATCAACTCCAAAGAATATAGCCAGATGGAAAAGAAAAGCTCCCAACAAGAGTTAAAAGAAAATTTTGGACAAGATGATCCTTTAGTAGGGTTACATAGAGAAAGTTTAGGGAAATTTGACCATTATGTCAAATGCTTTCCCCCAAATATATCAGCATCCCAAGCTAAAATGTTGGCTATTGAAAATGCTCAAAACCATAACTTTTGGCTCAATTATTCAGGAAAGAAAGAGATGAAAGTTACAATATTAGACACCTTGTTAAAAATGACAATAAGTGAAGAATCTTTGCAAGAACACCACAGAATCTGTAAAATGGCATGTTTAATGAGGCCCATCAAGAATTACTATCCTATCCATGAAAGGATTTATCCTAGAATTAATTTTATGCCAGATGTATACCCAAAAGCAATAAAAGAATTATTCCATTACAGTTTTGTAAATTGTATCTATTTCTCAAAAAATAATGAGGAGGTTTTAAAACTTCTAGAAGTTATATACCGAGTAAAAGACTTCAAGACTGGCACCACAGTTCAAGGAGTAATATTTGTTAAAATCTACTATGAGCACCAGAATGGGAGAAGTCTCAATATTTCCATAGTCACCATATAGTTTAGATTGGAATTCAATATAAGAAGATCAAGAGAGAAGCAAATGATGATCAAATTTTTTAAGAATTTGAAGAATCTTTTTGTGGAATTGAGTTCATCCAAAAGAAGAGCTCTAAGATTCAAGGTTTTACTCCAAACCTTTGACAAAATAATAGACATTAAGAAGATATGGACTTACGAGCTTTCCAATGAAATTTCGATGGTATCCATTGGAGCAAGATTAATAACAAACATCAGCCTTTTTTAAATAAAGTAAAAAAGAAAGAAATATTTGAGAATCCAATCCTAGTCAGCAAAGAAGTCCATAATCGACTATGCAAGCTATCAAAGCATGACAATCATTGTGAATTTTACTATAAAAAAGAACCTACAAAAGAAAACACTAAAGTGGCATGTGACGAAGGAATCAATTCCTTATACAGTGAAGAAGATTTCATCGTTTTTTGAAGAATCCAAGGTGAAAAGACATAAACTCTTATGTCACTAAAGAAAAAGAAAAGTGTCAACAAGATTGTACGTAATTTGTTTTATCAAAAGTAGAAAGAAAGTTTGGAGCACCAAACAATAATGTAGACTTTAGACATTAGCAATGATGAAAGGAAAAATTACAAGGAGCATTATAAAAAGCCTCTTATAAGGTATAACAGATATCGGGTATTTGAACATTCAAATACCTTACCTAGGAACCTTTCACCATGCATCTATAAACACCTTTCAAGGGAAAGAAAACTTTCCCTTTCTCTTCTAAAAAATAAAAACATGTTTTAAAATAATTATTGTGTTTCTATCCTTCCTTATTTCCATCATAAAAACAATGAGAAGAATCCTTGAAAGACACTTAGGCAACAATGAGGTCACTTGTCCTATCCAGATACCCATGGTAGCCAAAGTGTGGCATTGAGGGTTTTACAAAGGAAACATTAGCTTGACCAAAGGCTAGACTAGAAGACTTTGAGGTATAATTCTAACTCATTTATTTTATCTTGTGGAAGACTAAAAGGCTAAACTAAAGTAGGCATAGAAATAGTTTTATTATTTTTTGACATCATATTCTTGAGATTAGAAAATAATAGGAAATAGTACTAATCTCTTATATTTCAAATAGAAAGTCTATTTTAAAGGCCTACTCATAATATTTTATGATGCTTGACGTCATTCAAAAAATCATTTTAGATAAAGAATTTTATGAGCAACAATGCGAATATTATAGAAATAGAATAGTAAAAATTTTAGAAAAAAATGAGTAATATTGAAGATTTTGATGAGCATCATCTCTTCAAGAATCTCAAAAGGTTAAGCGAATAGTAGTAGATTTAAATGAAGATTTAAAGAGACTCAAAGAGGTTAAGCAAAGATTATCTCCACTGACAACCTAATAGACTTAATTCCACACTTACTGAGCTTAACATACCAGCTATACATTAGTTTGTAATCTGAGTTATGTTTCAAAAATCCTAAGAAAAATTTTTGGTATCAAAGCCATAAAACAACGTTGTTAAGAATGGAATTAAGAAAGTAAGATTTTATTATCAATAGGTTGGAATTATAACAAAGATTGTAGCAAAAGAAAGAATGATACCCTATAGAATTAATGAGTTACTATGGGAGAAATATGTTTATAAAGCTTGTAGAGCGTCAGCTTTAGAAGAATTAAAAATTTTAGTAAGATAATGATAAAAGATGTTTTATGGTAAATATAAATTCAAGGACTAAAAAATCAAAAGAAATATAGTTAGAGGACTAAATGTTTTCTTATAGAATAAAAAGATTTCCATTATCTTCAACAAACTAGATGAAATTGAAATCAGTATGAAAGATAATAGACATGATTGAAAGAATCCAAAGATAATAGATGAAATCGGAAAGAATATGAAAGTTAGTAGATGATTTGTTAAATTAAGTCGATATTGAGGTTTGCCTTCACATTTAAATGCATGCAATCAAAATTGTTAAAGCTAGAAATGAAGTGGCAGAATGGGAAAATCTATCCTTAGAATTATGCAATAAGGATGGATTTACCCTTAAATAAAAAATAAGGATAAATTCACTTATAAAATTTTTTATTCAAACAAATTATCTCAAATTTAACATGTAACATTGTTGAGGGGTGCAGGGGTTGATGAATTAGTAGCGAAGATGACGTATGAGCTGACTAGGATGCCTCCTTGTAAAAAATGAGGAAGGTCCTTGTAGCTTCACCTGTTTCATGTGTAAGAAGCTATGTGCCATGACCATCTCCCTTCATCTAGCAAAGATGGACTATATGTCACGCCCCAAAACCGAGAGCGAAACAAACACCATACACTTGTGAGAGGATCCCACAAATGTACAAAGCTCAGAACTTGCTAAATTCATAACTAGTAATCCACATACACTTAGATCCACAGTCTTAATATTAAATCTAACTTTATAACAAATATTTGACTAGGCCAAGAGTGTACAAAACATTTTTACAACTTCATTAATAAAGTCAAGACTATCTCAAGGGGATCTAGTCTACAAAAATGATCTATCTTCCATCATCTATGTCCAAAAACATATGTGACTAGCAGCCTAACTCCACGCTAATCTAAATCCAAAACACAAATGGCTAGCCTTCAAGATCGTCACTCTTCTTCATTTCCCTCAAATCTAGCCTCGCTACCTGAAATGGTGGACAAGGAAAAACTATGTGAGATAACTCAGTAAGTAAAAATATGGATAGCCCTAAATTAAAGTTAAAGCATGCTAGATAAACAATTTAATATAAACTAGAATAAATATCTCAATGATAAACCATTAATGTAGAATAAAATTAAGTAGTGGTCTCCTCAATTAGTCATGGCCAGTGTTTAACAAACTCCCACTAGTAGGCGTCAGTAATAACCAATGTATTATCCCACTAGTAGGATTACAGAATGAATCGGTCCTACAAGTATACATGTCGACATGTGCTGGCGTTTGCAAACTCCCACTAGCAGGCGTCAGTAATCATGATCATATGGAGACAAATCCATGCAAGATTTACAGGAAAATTCATAATTCACAAACCAATTTGAGGTTATCAAAACAGTTCATAAACTCCAAGTAGACATGCTCAATTCAATAAATGAAAGCAATTTCATTTTAAACCAATCATGCTCATTTTTGTGTAAAACAGGTTTAGTCCCGCCACCACTTTAAAAAAATAGTTTAAAATATGCTTTAAAACCTTTGCTTTAAAATCCAAGGGCATTTACCAAAATCTTACTTACCTCGCCTTGTTACCATACAATAAGCAAGGAACTCAAGAAATCAAGGCGCTTGAGGTGATTTGGAACCTAGGCCATATCAAAGAACAAACAATATTACAACATACCCCATTTAACTAAATTAGTTTCTAATCATAGTATCAAGTTTCTAACCAAAGAAACAACTTCCTCCTACACCTCCCGATCACTTCTACCCATTCAAACCCCATTAATATATGTATATATATTCCTATGCATATTCATACTTAAAACAAGCCTAAAATAGCACCAAAATACCCTACATTTGGTGGGTTACAAGGTAGATTTACAAGACAAAACAAAGTGGAAAAATATGAAAAAAAACCAAGCTCAAATCTACCCCAAAACAGTAGCACAAAAGCTGGGTAGTAAGGTGGGGATTTTTGCTATTTAAAACAATCCCAAAGTGCTTGGAAAAAGCCCTAAAGAACAGAAATTTTCTGGGCAAAAATAGTAGGGATTTATGGGCAAATAGCAGCAGCAGAACAATGTTGAAACAAGCTAAAACTGGGCAACATTCAAGCAAAAATTGTAGTAGCAAAAAGGCAACCAAAACAAAGCAATAACAAGGGGTTTTAGAGCATGAAAACAATAGCTAAAATCTAGTAAAATCATGATGTAATATGGTAGTAGATAAAGTGGGAGTAAAATAGGAAAAAAGAGCAAAGTTCTGTCAAGTTCTGGTCTGATTTCGTGTTGGAACTTCCAACAGAATTCACGCCCAGAAATTGACTGATCTGGGTTAAGTGGTCAACAGATAAATTGTAGCCCTATGTCTTAACATTCTATAGCCTCAAGAATTACCTTAATCCAACATCTGCAAAGGAAGTTACGGTTAAAATAGTGACAACAAGTCGAGCTGCCAATTCAATGCACTTGCAGGATCTAAAATTTACAGCAGTGTTTTCACCTTGAAAACAGTTGAATTGGGTTAAATATCTAACATAAAAATTGTAAGGTTATCTCTTAGTTTCCATAGAATCAAGAATCAACTCAATTCAATAGCTACACAAAGAGTTATGGGTAAATTACTACCAAAGGGTCATGAAACCTGAATTTCTCTGGCAAGTAAAGGAAATTAGTTTCTGGTGGTATTTATCATGGACAAAATCAAGGGGAAACTACAGAAAATTTCTAAAATTTGAAACCCTAAAGGATTAGAGTTAACTCACTTCAAATCATAGAGGAAAGGATGAGTAATTTGATTGATTTCTTACTAAAAAGTGCTGAAAATGGTGATGGATAGCAACCCAAAATAGATCAGCAGATTGAAGGGTGCAGCAACCCAGATCTGAAATATTGTTCATGATTTTGAGAGTGATAAGCTTATTATCTCTATATCTTGCTAGGAGAAGGAAGAAAAAGCTAAGTTCTTACCTATTTCTCAAGGTGAGGGGGCATTGGGGTAGCTTGGGGTTTTTGGGGCTACAGAGCTTTGGGAAGGAGTTGGAACACGCAAAAGGTTGAGGAAGAAAAACAAAAAAAAAATCAGCCTTAACCCTTTTATCAACAATTTTTCTCTTTTAACTCCCTTGAGTTTGGAAATTTTTGTTATTAGGTTCATTGATAATATTTTCTCCCAAATAAGTCCCTAACTCAAACTTTAATGTTCTAGAAAATTTTGAGTTATTACACTATGTAAGGTTCTTTAGCAAAGTTTGAAGATACAATTTCCCTAGCCAAGCCAAAAGAGCTAGGTAGGAATGATGGAATTTCAAGATCAAAGAACAATTACACAACTATGACAGAAAAAGAAAAATGATGTACATTATAGTCGCAACAATATGGATAGAAAATACAAAGAGTGACTTTTACAACTTGAGAAACACATTTATATGAAATATATTGTGAAATAATAATAAATGTAATAAATGTGTGCTTAGTTATCCCTGACATATCCTTAAATTCTAAAATAAGAAACCCTCATATTGAGGTACAAGAACACAATAATCTCCTCCAAACTTGTGCAAAACAAAGAAGAATAAACTAGAAAGTAGTGATGGGAAAAGAAAGGATGATCGTTGTGTGGGCTTTTGATGGAGGACTTGATCCCATTCTGTGATGCTACCTTACTACTTAACCCTTTAATGCTCAAGAAAAATAATCCTAGAACCACAAGCTATGACATGAAGTCTTATAGCTAGACTAAGCTGTAAGTTTGAAGACTAGTTTGTATGGCTAGAAATGTAAGAAAATGTGTTAAAATAAAGGTTTTTGGGGAATTTTGTGTGGGAGTCAAGAGGTTGAAGAAGAAAATTTCTTTAGAGTGAAGATGTATCTAGTGCTTGTAAAATGAACATTCCTTTGTTTCTTGAAAATCTGCCCAAAAACAAAGGAAAAAATCAAATCTATATATATATATGTGTGTGTGTGTGTGTGTCATGGCATTTTGGTAATTTTGGGTTTGTCAAGCTAGTGCAGCCCAACAATCCAATAGTTAGATTTGGGTTATGTGAGGATAGGTGTTAAGTTTTAAGATGATCAAGGCACGCTTGATAGCTTTTGAAGTGTATTATGAATTCTCTAACACTTCCAATGAAGGGCTGCTACTTTGCTGGAGTCTTCTCATTCTTTACAACCTCATATCCATATATAATGCCATATTTGGTGTGTAATTGAGCACTACTAGCAAATCTTCCTTTGTTTAAGACTTTGATAAACTTCCTTAGCAAAATGCAATCTCTTTTGCCAATTTCCCATGTAGTTAAACTTATTTAGCCATCTGTATATTGAATACCATATAGGTCGACGATAGAGACTCGAATGGCATCTCTAGTTGATTTTTAATGGGGTTACAAATCTTCTAGTAGCCATCAAGCAGTGTAATTTTTGGGATTAAGTTTTGCCTCCATATGTTTGCCACCCATCCCTTCTTGGCACAGCCTACCACCAAGGAGCTGCCGACCACAACTTGATGGATTTTTATCGCTAGAGGCTAGTCATCCCAACTAATTGTAGGCTTGTAACTATTATCAGTTTCACGCTAATCATATCAAGTTTCACTCACTCTCTATTCATTTTTAGGAGCCAGTAAAATAAAATATGTAAAGAAATCTGACCTTTTATTTATTTCTAAAAGCCAATGTAGTAAAAATATGTAAAGATGTCTAGTCTTTTGCCCATTTCTAAGGGCTAAGTAAAATAGCAAGTTTAGCCCTTTATCTGTCGTTGGGAGCTATCTAGATGTAATAAAATTGGAGTGTTATCCATTAATGGGAACTAGTCACAAAGATATGTGAAGTAGATGTTTGGCCATTTGTCCATTGCTAGGAGTTGTGTAAATGTAATAAAATCAACTTGTTATTCATTGACGGGAACCAGTGACATAGATATGTGAAGTAGATGTCTAGTCATTTGTTTATTACCAGGAGCTATGTAGATGTAATAAAATTAACTCGTTGTCTTCTGATGAGAGCAATATAAATGTAGCAAAATATGCTCTTTATCCATTGCTAGGAGCCAATAAGATGCAGCAATAAATATTGCAATAGAAATCAAGACCGTCACAAACGCCTAGCCATGTTGTAGAGATAAATGTAGCCATGCCTAGCCACCTATGTAAGAATAAAGTTGAAGTATATCATGTTTGTAATATTTCCAACAAAATGGGTGCTACTACTGACAATGCCGACTCCATTGCGATCATCAACAGAAAATAGAATATAGCATATTTGATATGGAAATAAATCGTGTGGGCCCTTCTTAGTTATAAATTCAAAGTTGGTCTTACTAATATGGCACTACACATATTGTAAATTCCAAAACAATACAAATTCATCTCTTAACAGACGTTAGATGACATCAATAATCCATTAACAATAAACTTATTAATAATGTAATAAGTTAATGGACTACTGATGTCATATGACATCAACAAATTAAATTCAAAATGATTTGTCTTTGTCAAAAACTTTATAAGTGGATTTGTCCTTATTTTTTGTTCAAAGGTGGATATGTTCCTACTGCCCAATTTTGGGGGTGGATTTGGATATTTTGCTAAATAAAGTGGGGTTGCATTTAGATTAACCCCTAAGAAAGATACTCTTTCTATTCATTTTTGATAGATTTAGTTTAATTTCTTTTGTTGTTGAATATAAATTTTAGATGAAAATTTAACAATTTAAATGAATAATAATTGAACAAATTTGTTTCCTATTTAAAGTTCTTGTTGAATATTGTAATTTAATCAAAAAAATTTCAATTATCATTAATATAACATGTTAATTTTTATTTAAAATTTATATTCAAAAAATCAAAAAGTTAAATTAAATTTACTAAAATTAAACTAAGGAAGTAATGTATTTTTTTCAAAACCAAACATAAAAAAATGTACATTTCCTTTTAAATTAAAACTCAACCATTACTAAGGAGAAAAAGGGCAAATAAAAATGCTAATTCTGTATTTTTTAATTTAAGAATATTAATTTTATTAGTTTTTAAATAATAATACCAATTTTTTATTTTATTTTAAATAAAAAAAATAAAAATTGATATTTTTAAATATAAAAATTATTATTTAGTATATTTAAATAAAAAAATTAAAAATTAATATTTTTATTTAAAAATTAATAAAATTAATATTTTTAAATTAAAAATATAAAATTCACATTTTTATTTGTACTTTTTCTCCATTACTAAATTTATCGAAAACTCGTAGGCAGAAGGTGCAATTCAACGCTTCTACTTCACTTGTTGTGACATGTCAGCCCCTCTACTAAAAAAGAGCGCAAAGCAAGCCCCTACTATTGAAAACCCGCGAATCAACCCTTCATTAACGATGACGTTAGACGATCTGCTCTTTCCGTTTGCTTTTTTATCGCCCCGTTAACAGAAGCTTACCTGGCATGCTGACTGGGACATGACTTCGCTTTTTTTAAGGGTTTTTTTTAGGCACATGTTGAATGTATAATAAACATATATTTTTTGTTATAAATTTATATTAAAAAATAAAATTTAACTTTTGATTTATTATATATTTAATTAAATTCATCTATTTAGTATTTACACTAAAGTTAATATTAATTTTTACATTTTTTATATGCATTTATGATAAAAATATGCTTAGATTAAAAAAATCATTTTATAATTAAAAGTTTTTCTAAGAGTGTATTTAATACAACTTTTAACTATTAACTTGCAGGGAAGAAATAAAATTTGCCTTTAATTTTAGGAAAAAAGGAAAATTAAGATATTAGAATGTTTAATTTTAATCATTAAATATGTAAGATAATGTAGGTCTTAATTTTATTAAATTTGTCATATGATTATTATTAAATATCTTAATATGTTAAATATTAAGATATTTTAATTTTTCCTTTTTTTCTTAATTTTAACAGTTAATTAATTAAATTAATACAAGTGACATTATTATTCAAATTAATATCAATTTTTTATATTTCAGATAATTTAATTTAATTACCCCATTTGTCTCTGCTTTAAGGCACGTGTTAAGCTCCTATTAACGGGGCAATAGTAAGGAGGACGGAGGGATAGTGATTGTCTAACGTCTTAATTAAAAAAGGGTTTTAGATGTGCATATTCAATGGGAATGTTTGATTGTTCTTGACCAAGCAACCAAAGTGGGTGGGGTTCGAGTTATTTAAATATTCATAAAGGACATATTGATTGGATAAAGCTTGGATTTTATCTTTCTCTTCATTCCAGGAAGTTGCCTTTTTGTGTGGTTTATGTCATATGACTTGGCAAGTGTTGTAAATGAAGATGATAATGAAACTGGGGATGACCAAGAGACATTTTCTGTTCCTCAGTCACCCAATAAACATAGTGATGAAATACCAAACAAAAAACCTAGAAAAACAAGAGAAGATTACTAATTGAGTTGCCGGTTGAGGGAATTGATGGTAACTTAATAAGAAAACATGAGACATAATTTTTATTATTATAGTTTAGTTTAACTATTTTTATCACCCAATAACTTTTTAAACAGCTGTTTATACCATTTAGAAACTATATTGTCAGCTTTTTCTAATAACCAAATCCAACATAGCCAAAACTGGTTTAGATCTATGACCCAATTACTACATTGAGCACATGCAAACCACTTTATCCACATGTAGAGAGCAAAACTCTACTCAAATGTGGTGAGCTGAACTCATCATAAATTGTATGCATTCAAAACTCCCCTACAAAGTTTTAGAGAAATTCAAATCTAATACTTCCAATGTGATGAATGGTATCTTTCCATATTCCATAAACACCAAATTGAGACAAAGATTTGTCTGCGACTAGTTCTAACAATTCTTTAACATAGGAATGGCTAACACGATAGGACCCAAAGAACTCCCACACTGGATCAAGAAAAATCCCTCACTCTTTAGTTCTTAACTAAGTACTAGCTCCAGAACATGAAAATGCTACAACAGATCCTAAATTGGCAAATAGTAAGACACCTAGTTCAAAACATAAGAAAGTTTTAGCAAAAAAATTCTAGATTTAAATGACTAGCAAGTTAAACCTCAAAAACTAGGAAACGAGCAAAAATATATGCCATACCATATATACTGTCATTCAGACTCCCAACTCCAAAAACAAGACACAATAGTGGAAGAAAAGTGAGTTTTCTCTTCTCATTCAATAAGGTCTTTAATTCTTTCTATGTTTCAGAAGCTCTTGGCATATTAGCTATTCTAACATGAATCTTTTGTTTGTTCTGTTTTTGGAATTAATCCAAGTGTACCCAAAGGTGAAAGTGAGGCCAGAACAAGATAAAGATGACAGTGACTCAGTTTTGTTTTTAGAGTCTTTCTCTAGCCAAAATAATTAATACTAGTTGCTACTATTTCACCAGGATACATCAATGCTACTTCCAATTATCCATCCTACATTCCCATGTAAAGTATGGTATTATTTTCCTTCTCTTTTCTACTCTATGTGCAGAGAATGAAAATCAATCGAATTCTAATTGTCCACCTATAATTGCCAGAGTCACCAAGATTAACTCAATTTCAATTTCTAAAGGTTAATTAATTCTCTTCTACATCTTACCTAAGTAGGTGGTGATAAATGATCAAATTTGGACCCACTAGCTTGTGAAAGACCACCAGCCTGTGAAGGACCAACAGTCTGTGACGGCAAAAAGCCTATAAACGCATAGTGCTGGCTAAGTAATGTAATATGCTCATGAAATCTCCTATCAAAAGCGACCTCCAATTTTGAAACTCTCTACGATACCTTTGACTGAATACATGCGATCTTTGATTATACTTGCTCCACCATTTCTTACCGAACTTATGCAAGCTCAAACTGCAACTAATGGACTTACGTCATAAGCATCCTAGTGGTAGAGAATGAGGCCTCTCTATTCTCATATCATCGCCACGATATGCCATGCTTTGCTAGGTCCTAAAGTATGGACAACCCTCTCATCTAACCCTTTTTAGGGGATCCAACCGTATCTTTCCAAATTTCTGGATCCCACCCTGGCCATACCTCTTTGTTGGGCCCATACTTCTCCACGTACTTTTGGTGAGCAGCATTCTATTTCAAATATAAATTTTCATTAGTTAGAATACTTTAAATTGTGTTAATATTAATTATATATAATAATTATCATCAAGGAATTTGATACTTACATATGTCTACTCAACTTCTGACACACCCAAACTAGTGATGCATCTTCTTGACCTTCAGGCTTGCGAGTCGTATGAGTATATAGGTAGGTCTATAACTGTGATGGCCTAACTCTCCCTCTTTTTGTTGCCTATTAAAAACATCAATAAAATTAAAAATTTATAACATTTAGCATTATATATAAAAGTATACATAAAAAGGCACATAATACCAACCAATCGATCTTTATGGATCCCTATTGAAATGCAACCAGTAGTGTGAGTCACACGGGAACCCTTCACTCAATTTAGCGGACCCCTCTCTTGTAACTCTATATATTGTGGGCTCCTTCACTTTACTAGCAATATTTTGAAGGTCTCTCTGTGCATGAACTTAGGTAATTTCTTTAATGTTCCCATTTCTTTCGACTAAATGGAGCTCGTCCTAAAAACAATTCCGGTAGTGCTTTCCCTAAATTCTATATACATGAGCATCATCTTCCTCCCAACAATATGTCTTCTGTAATATTAAAATTAATTAAATTAATTGATAATATATTTGGTTTTATAGAAAAAAAGGTAGAGTTTCCCCTAGAATATCAACTTTCTCCCTATTAATCATAAAGAAAACGAACATTTAAAATATCAAGAACATTTAAAATATCAAACACATTTATATCATGACCACTCATACCAAATTCTAAGCAGCAACATCACAATAATCAAGATCTCAACTATTTCAAACTCATTCATATGAAAATCAATTGATAACTTGAAACATCCATGTCCTAAGGTGTAAGATTTTATAAGTTTTAATTTTATACTTGAATATTAATTTCATGAGGTTGAGGCGGTTAGGGAGCAAAACCAGAATCTGATATGACTGGCTAGCCCTGACAAGCTATTGTTGAAAGATAATAAAAATAAATAAATAAATATATATATGTATATATATCAAATTAAAGATCTAAGTGGAACTCATTAAAAATCCATAACTTTGTCTATAGAAGTATAAACATGGTTCCAAATAAGACTTAACTAACTGTTTTGAATTCTAATTTTCTGGTACCAGATGGAGGAAAAATTGGGAAAGAAAATGGCTCTGCAAGCCAAAACCAACAGGAAGTTTAAGAAAACCTTAAGTGCTGCTGTAAGGGAAACTATGGGTTTTTGTACTGTGCATTTTATACATAAAATTATGTTACCATGTAAAATGATATAAGAACTGGACTCTTCCCTTTTTGTTTATCATAATCAAACTATCCAAGTCCTTTTTGTTTTCTACTTATAAATATTATATATATATATATATATTTA